CAACATCTAGATAAACGATTATTCAATCTTGTTTCTAATCCCCATCAGAATATTACTGATCAAATCACCGCAATAGCATATAATATTATTCTATAATACAATATTTTCATTTCACTTATAAACACTAGTAGAATTGCATGTATATAAACGATAATGGCAATTAAAGTCTTAGGATTTTATAATAAATATAAATATAAAATAAGAATTTGTTATTGCGTGCGCAACCTACCCGTGCGCAAGATTCGCCGTGCGCCACTTTCTCGTGCGCGTCTTTCCGTGCGTATCTTTCGTAGACTCGACTTTCATAGTTTAATAGTATCGCACTAACAAGTGGCTATGATAGTTTCACAGTATCGCAGTATCATAGTGTGACTTTCGTAGTTTCACAGTATCACTATAAACATTGATTTCACGATCGGCGTTCTTGGTTAGTTAGAATAATCTGTTTCCAAGAATGATGTTATCAATTACTCCTTTGCGGTGCTATACTTCATCAGTGAAAGTCTGCATTTGTTTGTAGGAGGTCTAAAAGCTGGAAAGGGAACAGATACTGAAAACCTTCTGAAAATTCTTTCTAGGCTATTCTATAAGCGAAAATCAGCCCTAGGGCTCTATTATTCTTATTACGAGCTGCCGCTCATGTCATATCTGGACTTCTTTCTCGCCTTGGCGCTGATAAACAGGGTCTTTTTGTAGATCCAAAATGAAGAAAAGCGGATGAAGAAACTGGAAGAAGATACGGCCGCAGCAACAGGTGAAGCATAAAAGAAGCTCGAGAAACAACATAAACAAACTGAATTAAACATTAAAATAATGAAAGGTAAGCAAATCACACTAAGATGGTTATCTCATGCACATAGTCTTTTATTGTTTTAGAAATTGATGAAGAGAAAAAGCTCGTCGAAAACAAAGAAAATCCGAATTAGAACTTCTTATGTGATGATGATAACCGGTTCGTGACTTAACTCATTAGAAACTCTTGTTTGATCCTAGCGAATATTGATTTTTATGCTAGCATGTTTGAAAGTCTATTTATTTATTCGTAATAAGAAATATATAGATTTAAAGTTGAAGAGAAGCTCAGAAACTGAAAAGTGTGTAGAAACACACGGTGATTTACCTGGATTCACTCTTGTTTCGACAAGGTACATAGCACATTCATCATGCATCTCTTTGCATGAATATACGGTGTTGACTCGGCATATTATTCATTTGATTATCCAGAATTTCTAGCAAAGGAACATTAAAACACGAAATAGAAAAAAGCTTTTGTCTTGCACCAAGTATAATAAATAAAGTTGATCTTTCTCGCTCAATATTTTCGTCTCGAACTCGCTTGTCTGAGTATTTGTCATAAAGGAGAGCCCAAATCGTGATTCCTAACCTTAGCTACCTACCATACCTACACTTCTCATAATGGCCGGTCTGATAATAACATCGACTTAAATACAGTAATATTGTTTCCAATCGTAAAGCTTATCATTAACAACAACGGAAAGAATGTTTCAAATTTACCGAACTTGCACATGCGAATGTTTTTGCGTGATGTCCGTGTACTTAGAGATGAGCCAACCCACTAAACAATAAAAATAATCGTGAATCATCTTCATCATCAACTTCAACGTCTCCTTGTAATAAATTTAACTGTATATAATTTGAAAACCAGTTCTTAAAGGTAATCGAACAAAACGGAGCAATTTCGTCTGATGAAATGGCTAAACATTTTAATTTATGCATTTTTCTTAATAGCAACGATAAAATAATATAGATAGACGTATTGCTTGTTAAAGATAGGGATAAGTACCGGATGTTTCGAAATATATTAGGAAATTTTTTCAATAGTTTAGGATCTATGGAATCAACATGCTGTAATCTTAAATCGGTAATTGATTCAGCCAAATATGAACATAATGTTTGATCATCAAACTGATTTGTAATGTTTAAAACCAAATCATATTTCAGATGCAATGAGTGTAAGCTGGTCATTCCTAGCAGTAACGATTTAAAATCAGAACGACTGTGAACATCGTAGAATGTCAAAATTTTCACGGTTGAAATATTAATTAGTTTGGTTATTTTCTCAGAAAATAGTCGATAATCATCATATTCGTTGTTTCCATTAATTTGTAAATATGTAACATTTGGATACTGACGTGCAATTGTGGTGGTGCAACTTTGGACTGATGACTGACAAATAGATACAACGAACGAGGTAACACTGTTGTAAGCTTGTGACTCACTTGTTGAGGTTGTTAGGGTTTGTAAATCATATGGCATTTTCAAATGCATTGATGATATTTTACATGGAATCGAGTAAATGAATAGATTTTCATAACGTTCAAACGGATAATAATCAAGTGTGATAAACCATCGGTGACCGCTCCAAAAAACTGTTTTGAATGACAATAGTAATTCATTCAGATTTGGATTTTCTCCAGAATAGCGGACACATACACTAAACTCAAATGACTGTAATAGTGGTAGAAACTGAACAATTAATCGTTCCCACATATTACCATTAACAAATTGCAACGAATTTCCTAGAGAAAACACGTACCAAAATGTCTCTCAATTGATAAGGTCGATGATCTATGTACTTACCGGAAAACACGAACTTTTTTAGTTGCGGCATATGACGTAAGATATATTCCGTTTGCTCATATGATATTCTTCGACTTTTTAATGTAAAATGAGATAAATATTGTAGAGATGGTAGATTGTATTCCGGACATTGTTCTTCATGCGTGTAAATAGTAACAGAAAAACGTTTTAGTTTTGGTACGTGTTTAAGTAATGCCATCATTTCATTTATGTTACAATGACGAATTTTCAAATACTCTAAAGTTATAGGTGCTGTCATTGTTGTTTGAAAACACATCACATGGGGAAATGATAACTGACAATGTTTTAATGTTCTCAGCTCTTTCCAAACGATCATTTTGCAAATTTTCTTTGTGTCTGTTTCGACGTCATTTCCCAGTCTCGGAATAAATTGAATCTGTAAATAATAAAAAAGAATAGATATAAATTACTGACTTTCTTGCAAGACACTATTATATATTTCTGAAAATAAGATGAGTGAACAAAATACTTATAACTCCGGAAAGAAAAGACCTAGAGGCCTGCGGTTTCACTATACAGACACAAAGAAAATTTGCAAAATGATCGTTTGGAAAGAGCTGAGAACATTAAAACATTGTCAGTTATCATTTCCCCATGTGATGTGTTTTCAAACAACAATGACAGCATCTATAAATTTAGAGTATTTGAAAATTCGTCATTGTAACATAAATGACATGGCATGTTTCGACAATCATTTTGCAAATTTTCTTTGTGTCTGTTTCGACGTCATTTTCCAGTCTCGGAATAAATGACATGGCATGGTGACATTCGAAATCCGGGTAGTCAATACTCTATGGCCCACGTAAGATAAAAAAATCTCGACAATTTTTGAGGTACAGCGGTTTTTTTTATAAAACCCGCTGTACCGGTGTGAACCACGTATAAAATAAAAACACACGCGGTTACCCGTACGGTTTAGCGGGTCTACATTCGTGTTTGGGTAGCAGACGAGGTTTGCCTGGAAAACCTCTTCGGAAAAATTTACTTTCTACATGGATAAACGTCCCACGAGCTGCTCTTTCCAATGGTAAAGACCGCAGCTCTCTATTTCTTCTCTTTTCGGCGTTATAAGCGTTTTGTTCCCTCATCTTATTTTCAGAAATATATAATATTGTCTGAAAATGCCGCTAACCCTTTGATGAGTAAACGTAAGAGATAAATTTGTTAAGCATTTGAATTTTCCTAATTTTGATATCAGATTTATTATGTTTGATGATACTAATGCACATATCGTTAATGATTTTAATTGTGTAAATTCTTCAATATGAATTAATAACTGTAAGGTTGAATGTTTTCTAAAGCGATCATCTTCGTCTTGAAATTTAAATGAAACGACATGATTTTTCGAAATTTTTGGTATGATCGTTTCACATAAATAGTCAAACTTTTTCTTTCTGTAACTTAATAATAATAAATGAAAACGCAAAGCGCAGATCAACGAATTAAGACGAGAATTCAAGTTAAACAATGATTTAAACAAATCCGACGGACATATCAAATAAAATACTTCAATCAATATTTCATTTGGCAAACTTTCAAAAAGTAACATATTTTTCAAAGAAATTGTCAGCTAAAATGAAGAAGTCAAAATGATTTCTTTAGAGTATTATGGATATGTAGGTTCATATATAGTACCTGCACGTAAGTTATTGGCTCCACAATAGCAAAAAAATATACAGTCACTTAGGGTACTTACTTGGTCAGCAGGTAAAGTTTCAAAGTATTTTAAGCATATCTAAGCCGTTTTAAGATGAACGTATAAGAAACTATTCACTATGTAGATAGATCTGGCTCTCGGCTATCCACTAATGTAAAATCTTCTTAAAACTCATGAGCATTAATTAGTATTCATCAATTTCCAAACCATAGTCATTAAGTGGTCGTAAGTACTCCATTTGAGTTAACTATGGTCAGTCCAGCTAAAATGGCTGAAAGAAAGTAAAACAACTTGTTTCAACGACGAAGTCTCACTGTTCCAGTTAAAAATTAGCTAGTTTTGAGAGAATTTTTTGCTCTCCCTTACGGCTTGTCCACCTAACGGTCTTCTTCGTTTCAGAAGTTTGCGTGAAATTTTTTTCCGTATTAGTTTTGTGACATCATTAAGCGCACTTTTCCACGCTGATCACGAATCAGAGGTCGAAAATTGAAAATCTCAATTTTAAAGTGGTTTCTGAACTTCAAAACATACTTTAAAATTAAAATTATCAAATTTTGAGATCGGACTCGGAATCAGAATGTATCAAAACCTTAATTCACATGAGAGAGTTTCTTCAGTTCAGTGAAATCCATCTGCAAAAATGGACGCCTTTGAGAGCTCGTAGGTCTTTTTCAAACAGAAGCCAAAAAAAAAGGAAAAGAGTTTGTACCCTTAATTCGAGTGACGTTCATCAGCATTCGTCCGGTCAACCGACCATATCACGTGAAATTTCTCCCGGTGAAACTTCGCAATGGAGAGTAAATCACCGCATATGGAACTACGAAAAAAGATGAAATGCCGTTACGGACATAGTTTTGCAGATGG